CTGTTTCGTTTTGTTGTTCATAGGGTGGCTATGAGTCGGTACCAACTCGATGGCATCTAGCCACAACAAAACAATCACTCCATATGAATGTGAAAACTGGGCAATTAATAAATAAGACCATAAAAGGATTGATGCATTTGAATTATGGTATTGATGAAGGATATTGAAATTATTTTTAGATTGCCAGAAGAACGAACAAATCTGTCCCTAAAGAAGTACAGCCGGAGTGTTCCTTAGAGGCAAAGATGATCTTTGTACTTTGGATTTGTTGTCAAGAAAGATCAATTCATGGAGAATGAAATCATATTTGGTAAATTGGGAGATCAGGAAAAAAAAAAAAAGGAAGACCCTTGGTGAGATGGATTAACACATGGCAGCAACAAGGGGCTGAATCCTAACAACAGTTGCGAGAATGGCATGGGATTGGGGAATGTTTCTCCTGTTGCTGATAAGGTCACTATAAGTCGGAACCAACTTGATGCCACCTAACAACTTACAACATGTACCTGTTGAAAGAAATCTGTAGCTCTAAATGCAGGGTTAAAGCTGGAAAGACACATTGCTGAATTCCTGTAACTTTTGGTGGACTTAATTTTGCTGTCCCCTCAGTCATGTTTCAGGACTTGAGGTCTGGCCAATTTCATACAGCTAGTATAGCAACCGGAGGTGGAAATAGAAACAGACCATAGACCTTCCAAGAGAGGTAAGATGGGGAGATACAGTGAGAGAGAAGCTTCAATTTGACAAGCCAAGCATGGCATCCAGAGGGATATAGTCATCTTGTCACTGTTCAGGCAAATTAGTAGCAATCAAGGGATAACAAGTCTAGTTTCAGGAGGTGTACATAGGCCAGAGATAGAGAATTCAAAATAACCACTACTTCTTTATGTTCAGCAATAAGCAGTCCTGTTAGTGTAACTTGACTCCAGGGACTAGGCTATAGTTCAAAGTCAGGACTCTCAGACCTCAAAGACAGATTAGGAAGAACAAGGCATGGTACCACCACCAACCATCATTCCATTCACTCTTTTATTCATTTACTCAATTATCGTTGGAGATCATCTATGTATTAAGGACTTATTCTAGGTGTTGAAGTTACAATTAATGAGACGGGCAGATTCTGCCATCAAATAAATGCCTAATAATATAGTTCCAGAAAAAACAAAATAGGTAGTAGGGTCGGGTGCAGACTACATGAGATATGATTTAGGGCAAGCCTTTCAGCAAAGGAGACATTAGAGCAGAGATCTGAATGAACTGAGGAGTAAAACCATAAAACATATTCAGTAAGAAGAAACCAAGAGTGTTTAAAAATGAGAATCAATCAAATAGATTTGGGATGAGAAGTATTCCTTCAATCTGCCTTATTTTATTCATTCATTTATCTGCCAAATATTTGTCAAGGATCCACTATGCAAAACACTCTGCTAAATACAAGAGCAAACAAGTTGTTCACTGAGCAAACAATCAAGTCCCTTCGGGACAATACCACCTCCAAGACCTAAACTCAAAGGGAACACATGAGCAGGCATGTAAGTTTGCTAGTGACCACATTGGTCTGCTGGTAAGTGGAAGAGATGGAAAGGCAGTAATGAAGATATGGGCTGAGTTTGACCATGTTCCATAGACTCCCGTGGATCTGGAGATGAGAGGCAGAAGAGGAAGGGCTGGTTGGTCCAAAGTGTAGTTAGACTGGGGGACTCCAGAGCCCATGGACAAGGACATAGCCATGGTGGGCTAGAGCTCAGAGTGAAGCATCTAGCTGATCTGAAGTGAGGGGAGAAGCACAAGAATGTCAATACTTGTAGATAGTACCCATTTGACCTAGCTTCCATGGCTTGATGAACAGAACTCGACTAGAGGTAGATTAATTTTTAAAAAATTATAAAGGGAATAAGTGTAAATTGCTACAATTTGATGGACTTGACCAATACTTATGGGTATAGTCGCTTAAAATACCAACTGGGAGGGAAGAAGTCTTCACATCAAGGATAAACCTTAGCCCCTCTGACACAGGGTTGATAGGAATGGGCACTTAGACACTGGTTACCTAAAAGCGGAGGGGGGGGGACTATAAAGGCATGAAGTGACTGGTTTACAAGTTAATTTTCAAGAAGAAGTTTAGTTTCAGAGTATGTGGGGGAAGGTAGAAACCCCACTGAATAGTTTTCATCCTGTCTAGATGGGTCTGATGAAAGGAGATTCTCATGATTCAATATTGAGTAATTGTTATCATGACTAATTGCTAGTGCTACAACCGTAAAGGTAGAAGTTTTGTAAGAAAAAGGGGGGAATAGTTAATCTTACACTCCAGGAACAGAAGACCCTAGGACCATCAAGGGAGAAGTGCATAAGTGGAATTTAGGACCCTATGTAGAGAAGTAATGGCACCAGTGATGGAGGCAGAAATGATGATGTGGAGAGATAGATCATCTGAGGACCCTAGACTCATGGAAAGAGAAAGGCTGTGTGCTAGCAGCCAGGAGGCAGGCTTGCAAAATGTGCCCTTTGATTGTTTAAATGATTATATATTCCTGAGTGTTTTAGTGTACATATGTCCCCTCCCCCCCCCAAAAAAAAACCTAGAGGGAATAGAAGCAAATATTGTTGAATGATGATGCACAAAGGGGACTGTAATCATTGCAGTGAAACAATGAGTGTAAAACCGATGTTCTCCCACGTAATAAAAGCAATAAAAACTTAAAAAAATAATAATACAAATGTGTCCATTTGAATGGATAAAATATTGCTTCCATTCATTTGATTATTAAATTCCATGTGCATTTATTTTAATCCTTCGCTTTTGGTGACATGAAAACAAATTAAGACAGAAACTCAACAGGAAAGGAACTTCTTCTTAGTTACATACCAAAATGTTCAATAATTAGTTAATGTACTAAAATTGTCTAAGAAGATTTTCCTAGATGATGGAATGAATGTTTTCGTTTCCATTTTTTGTTTATCTATGTGGTATAATTTTTCGAGCACAAACAATGTATTTTACCTGTGTGATAAATACAATTGATTCAGTCAATCAATTAGGAGCTGGGGGATGCTTGGAGAATGAATGAATGGGAAGGGGGAGCACAGGTCATGGCCCAGGTGTGAATCCAGGTGGTCAAGGGGAGTCTGAGGGCAGACAGAGGTCCCGCTGTGCCAGTCAAGAGGGCATGTGTGCTATGTCAGAGGGCAGGTTATAAGGCATAGTCTGAACAGATTATTATAAAGATGTGTATATACACTCTCAATAGGCTTGGGAGTTCTTTGTTCTCAGATAGAGAGAAAGAACACACAGGCCAAGCTACCTAGGAACCAAGGGATGGCCTGCGACAGATGGGGACAGCCCATCCATATTCATGATATCAGCTATCTTAAGGCTGTTATGGATTTAATGGATTCAGGCAATTTTTGGCTCAGCCTCCTGGACCTGCCATGAGGCTGTCCCCCAGGACTCCTTTGCCCACCTGCTGGTGCAGTGGGATTCTCTGAATGTGGAGGTTTGTAGAGATTAAAAAAGATTTGTGTACTTGTATTGTCACCTCCTGTAATGTAGGGCCACTAGGATCTGAGACCCAGCAGGCTGACTCCAACCAACCCACACACAATGGAATCAAATGCTTAGGGTCAAGTGACAGGGCCCAGGTGGCCTAGGCCTATCTATCACTAACCAACTCAACTGCTTCATCTAGAGTCAGGGCACTTGGCATCAACAGGCAACATTCATCTGCCAAAAGGAAGGCAGTCTTCAAACCTTCCCCAGTCCCCCCATGCTTGCTCAGGGGGTCTGCCCGGTCCAGCCACAAATCTTCAGTCACATGGCCCCATAATGCCAACTTAGAATAGTGGACCCACCCATGCTGAAGCCCTGGGCTCTCTGTTCCATCTGAGCCTTAACTGGATGCTTATTCTCCCCTCATACACCATGCCCCTTCATGCCTTCACCTTGTGACTCCTAAGTATTTCCTTTGTCAAGAACAGCTTTTCCTCTCATGACATTCCAAATCTGTAAATCATACTTATCCTTCAAATCCATTTCAAATTACACTGTTTTTAAACAGCTTCCCCTAGCCCTGTAATGGAGAGAATAGAGTAGGGGGCAGACAGGGAGACATACTATGACATCACTGGGAAAGTGAACAGCATGTGTCCAAATAATAAAGTAAAAGGGTAAGAGCACCCTTCTGCATTTCTAACTGTAGATTCAGAGGGTTTTTTTCTTTCTTTCTTTTCAAAAGAGACAAGTGTTTCAGGAGGATTGATGTTGAGAGCGTTTGGCTTTTCAAAAAAACAAAAGTAAGATGTGAAAGCTCTAGAATAAGCTCCAGTTTGCCAAAATACCCTAAGGTTAGTTGAGAATCAGGGTTCGTCTTCCTCAGGCCCATGAAACTGGTCTGTTTCCAAGTGGACAGAAAGTAGAGCTGTGGAACAAGTCTCTAGGTTCCATTTATCAATACACAAGGTTTAGCAACTAAGAAAACTACAGGTTTTGTCAAAAAAGCTTGCTTCTGAGGTGGGTGATTCACTGAAGAAAACAATTCCTTGGCTAATCCCCATCCCTGGCTGTGTGCCTGACCTCTCCTAGGGTTATTAACTTGCCATCTAAGCCCTGGCTGAGTTAAACTAATGTCTTAATGAAACCTTTAGGATGAAAGTTCAAGTCTCACAATTATGAACTCTGTCTTCCTTCTCTTCTACCACACACCAACCCTAATGGCCTTGACCTTCTTCCTGTTACCGTTTGAAGAAGAGTATCATTTCAAAGCATGGACTTGGAATCTAATCTACTTGGGCTGTGGTCTTGGCTCTGCCATGATATAACTTGATTTGTGACAAATCATTAAACTTTATTATGCTTTCATTCCCTCATGCAATAGTATCTACATCACAAGATTATTCTGAGGATTAAATAAGTTATTATATGTAAATATAAAGCACTTAGAACAGTGACTGTTATATGGCACAGGCTACTAAAATGTTTGTTAAATGAAATAAATCAATACCTGTACTAGACCGGATTATCTCTGTCCCAACAACGTGGCCCAGCAGGTCATATTGGTTCAGGCGAGAGCCATCCTGTGCCACTTCCACAGATTTGTTCTTCCCAAGAGTCCAAGAATAAACCACCTCAGCTGTTGTATAGGCATCTAAGGTAGAGAAGAGTCAAGAAGAAGTTGAGAGAAAGGACAATTATCCTTGCTACTGAACTTGCATGACACTGAAATAAAATTTCCATCCTCAAAGAATTCTCCAGATGCACTCTGTCTTCAACTGAAGTGCATTTATTCATCCGTCTAATAAACATTCACTAAACAACTTCTACAACATACTCCAGGTACATAGAAATGAATCCAAGGCAATCCCTACCTTCAATGGTTCATAGTCTTCCACACTACCAATAAATTGTTAAAATTGCCTTCCCGTGGAGGGTAGTGAGTAGGGGTAGGGATAGAATGACTAACATATTATCTAATGCATACACCACAAACTCTGTTGCCTACAGGATACAGAGATGTTTCTTCAATGAAGGAGTACAGCTATTTATAAGAACAATAAACTTCCAAATATATAATAAAAGTTTCTTCAATTAATTATTGGATGAGCAGATGAGATAATGCAAAAAAATAATTCCAGTGATATTTTAAATTAAAAAAAATTAAGAAGTTCAAATGAAAAATAGTGATGATTAATCCTTATAATTTTCTTTCATAAGGTATTAGCACTTTCATATGCAAAGCAGAATCATGACACCTTTTCTTCTGCACCAGGGTCTTAATGTCAAGTCCTGCAGTTGGAGTTCCAATGTAGAATACAGCACTTAACACAGTTCAACTTTGAATAAGAGTGTGGGTGAGGGATATGGTGGTGGGGGTGGTGGCAATAATGAGTGGGGGGTTATTTGGTTTTAATCAGTATCTTAAAGGAAGAGAATTGTACACCTACACATATCCAGGCATGGGTTGAACATTACACTGTGTATTTCTGATTAAGAAACACCTAGTCAAATACTTAGTCTGAGAAAAGGCAATTGACCACCATGCAACTCTCTCATTTTATTCTTTTGTGCTGTTGTTCAAGTCAATGGGTGCTTCCACCTCACTGTGGTAACTACTATTTTCATAATATATTCTATTTGAAACTTTGACTACAAAGTAAATGAGGAGCAGCAGTAGTTCTGTAAGATAAGCGCTGGTCTATGAACCATAAAGTTGTCATTTTGAGCCCACCTTGGGAGAGAGATGAGGTAGCCTTGGCAACCCTATATAGGGTCGCCATGAGTTTGAACTAACCCAACAGCATTTAGCAACAACAAAGCAAATAATTCCTGGTGAATCTATCAATGAAAAAGCATAAATTCTGTGTTACTGCAAAACTTGGCAACACTGAACTCAAGTTTTATAAAAAATTCTAACATGAAAAGCTACTCCATTCATTAGCTGTGATCTGAGTTTATTAGACTTTATAGTCATTTCCTTATTTGCTTGTAATGGGCAACATACTCAAACAATCTTTACTCACATAAAAATTCTCATTAACATCATGACAAACATATTTAACTATGGTATTTTAATCTGTGCTCTTATCAACTGTAAAAAAGAATGCCACAGGAAATCAATTTTTTCCCCAATAACTTGCTCTGTATATAAAGTCTCCATCACTTCAAGATACGGAAAACAGCACTTGTAGTTAGACATGTAACTTCTGCTGCAGTTCATAGACAGTTTAAAAACAGACAGTTCAAAAATGAAACTGAGAGGAGGAGTTGGTAAGATGGTGGACTAGGCAAAAAAGGGTGTTTGACCCTCTACAACAAAGATACAGAAAACCAAATAAAAAAGACACAGATGATAGTCTTTGAAGCCTGAACTTCAGATGAAGGGATAGAAAAGTGGATTGAATGGTTACTAGGGAGAAAGCTGAACAGATGCAACAAAAAAGGAGACAAACTTGGTCACCTGTTCATTACAGAAACATACTGGTGACTCGTGGTGATAAAGGTATGACTTATTTATTTATGTATTTTTCTGGTTCCTCATCTGACACTTACTCTGGTTTTCTCTTTTCATTAATTGTGTTTGTTTATTCTTGCTTCCTCTCCCTTGTTTTCTATTCCTTCTATCTCCACTTTCATTTTTTTTTTCTTCTTTTAGTCTGCCTTTCTTTCCCAAATGATTCTGCTTATTTCTTTGCTTTTTATTTCTCTTTGTTTTTCATTACTACTGTTTGGTTAATTTTATTTTTATCCATTCATTTGCCCAATTGTATTTAGTTCTTTTTCTTAATTATTATTTTCTTTTAATTTTCTCTTTTTTATTTTTTTTTCTCTTTTTGTTTTTTATTCATTCCCAAGTGGTGCCTGTCTTTTATTTATATATTTTCTTAATTATTTTCTTTTTTGGATGTTATTTGCCTGTTTGTGTTGGTTTTCCTCCTCTCTCGTGTGAGTGTTTTCTCTTCTTACCTCACTTTACAGTAGAAAACAGCTGTGCCCATACAGTTCAGTCACAATCTTATCCTCTATAGCTCTACAAATTTGTAAGACCAAATAGCAGCTGCTATGCACTAGAACAACAAAAACAAACAATGTCTGACAAAGCCATCCTAAACTGAACTGCATGAACAGCAACAGAGAATGGTGTCATAATCACAACCACCAGGAGGAAGTTGGTGAGTGTATACAAATATATCAAAATACAATCATCAACTAAATACAAATACATCAACACCAACATGTCTCAGAAGCAATGGATCATTTGTGTTCACATGAAGAATTAAGACAGAGTGACTCAAAAAAATTACAAAGAATCCAAGCTAGAAAACATTTTTGAGGACAAAAAAGCAGTGGAACTATCTGAAAAGGAATTCAAGAAAATGATATTTAGGTACCTCCAAAGGATTGACAGAAAAGTCAAGGAAAACAAAGGAATCAGGAAAATGCTACAGGAACAATCAAAGAAAATAGATAAAAACTGGAGACAATATAAAACTGCACATAAATATCCAGAAGATTAGTACTAAGATTTCAGAAATGGACAAAACATTCATAGGGCAAAGGAGTAGATGTGAATCAGTTGAATTAGTGAGCCTGAAGATAAATCATTAATTATTAGTTAGCTAGAAAAACAACCAGAAAAAAGAATGAAAAAATCTGAAGAAAACCTAAGATTCATGTGGGACAGAATGAAGAAGAATAACTTATAGCTGATCAGAATTCCAGAACAAGAAGAGACGAATAAAAGCACCAAAAATTTACTTGAGCTGTTGGAAGAAATTTCCCTAACATTATGAAAGACAAAAAGATAACCATTGAAGAAACTGAAAGAGCATCAAACAGGACAGAACCTAAAACAAAAACAAATAACCAAAACAAAACAAAACAACCCAAGACATATCATAACCAAACTCTTCAAAATCAAAGATACGGTAAGAAACTTGAGATCAGCTTAGGAAAAAAAATACAAAAGATATCTACAAAAGAGAACCAGTAATATTAACCCCTGATTTTCAGCATAAATCATACAGACAAGAAAACAATGGGGAGATGTATACAAACCTCTGACACACACACACACACACACACACACACACACACACACAAATCCCACCAAATATCACACATCTAGCAAAATTGTTCTTCAAATACAATGGTGTAATTAGAACATTTTCAGATAAACAGAAATAAAAGATTTTGTAATAACAAGGTCAACTTTACAAAAAATACTGAAAAGAGAGTCCTTTGGACTGAGAAACAGCAGACAACAACCTGAGACTGACACACACAGCAACGCCACCCAGAATTCAATCCAGATATAGAAGTATCCATAGTATCTTGGTGTGGTGTGGTTTGATAGGCACTGGGCTACTAACTGCAATATTAAAGGTTCAAACCCATCGGTTGCTCTTTGAAAAACCGGTACAAGGGTGTTATGATTGGAAACTTATTTGATGGCACTTATGAAGAAGAACAACAAAGTAAAACAAACTTACAAGAGTGAAAATAGGGAAACAAAGATATTAATCTATAATGAACACGGCCACAAAGCAAAAAGGGAAAGTATAATTACTAAACTTCTAAATGGAGAAGAAGTCAAGTAGATTCCAAGATAAAATAGAATGTTTAAACTGGGGAAGAACTTAATTTATTAAAGGATAGCCTGAAAGAAAAAAACTTTCAAATCAAATCAAGAAAATGGAAAATATTGAAAATTTACTAAACATAAAAACAGTAATAATTAAGAAACTGATAAGAAAACACACAAATAAAATTAAATAAGCACAGAAAATTATGTGGAACAAAGAAACCAACAACTTCACATCCACACATTCAGAACACACATAGCAAAATGGCTGCAATTGACGCATACCTATCAATAATTACACTGAACATCAACAGATTAAATGCACCAATCATGAAACAGAATTGAAGAATAGATAAAAAACAGGATCCTTCAATATGATGTCTAAAAGACACCCACCTTACATACAAAGACAAACAGATTAAAAAATCAAAGAATTAAAAAATATTTCAAACCAACAGCAATCAAAAACAAGCAGGGGTGGTGTTTTCTGATTTGTGTCTGCCAGAGGGTCCTAGAGCAGCCATCTTGGGTGTGACAGAGCTGGTGCAGGATCAGAGAAGCATTCCCATTGTAGTGGTCTGATCAGTCATTGAAGATAAAGGTGTGAACATTTTTTTTTTTTTTCTGTTCATTTGTCACTCTCGATCTGCACACCTCCTCTCTGTTGATGGAGCTGGTGGACACCCCCCACCCCCAACTCAGAATGGTTCTACCACACATGTACACAGATCTGCTCAGCAAAGATCACTGGGCCCAAAATTGAAGAAGGGGGAGGAGTAACAGGAACAACTTTAAATGGGAGGGCTTTCAAAAATGGCTCTTGCCAGCCTGGACTGTTTCTCACTAGGAGAAACACCTGAATGAGCTTGAGAAAAGGAGACAGACAAAAAAAGAAAAAGGCCAAAAATCAAATCTTGAATTATGTCATAAGTAGCAACGGTTACATCTTGAAATTTATCAGGCAGCCTTGAAGTAAAGAAGCCAAATAAGGGGCATTAAAGACTTACTCATATTCTGCTTCTTTTTTTTTTTTTTTTGGCAATTATAGACTTTAGTGTTCAAGCTGT